ATTTGAGTCATTCAGTAAAATGAAAAACATGACTGATCATGTGGTTAGAGGGTTGAAAATATGAAAACATACACCTTGTACAATGAAGTGAGCAAAGTTCATGGAGGAGAGATCAGCTGGAGAGCTAGAGCTGGCTGAAAGTGAGCTGCTGGAGGCACCGGAGCAGCTGAGTTGGTGTCCGTGTCCTTCCACCCCCTCATGCTTCTGTGGGTCACTGGGGTGTCTGCTGTAACTGGCCTGCTCTCCTCTGCTCCTTCCCTGTTCTTCACCTGTCCTCTTATTGCTGGCCTCTGGTGGGCATTCTCTACCATCTCTCTTGATTTCCTAACATTCTGTTCTTTCTCCAACCCCGGGCAGGAACTCTGAAGGCAGGAGGAGGAGGACAGGGGTGCTTATCTCAGTCTTTCACCTCCCAGCCACTTCAGGGCTTCATCAAAACCTACTGGCTCAGATGTTGCCGTGAAGACTTTCCTTTGCCAGATTCAGCCTCCTGGGTCTGGGTTGTGGCATCTAACAGCATCTGTGCCAGATTATCTAAAATCCTGGGCACTTGGTGGTGATATACAGGTGAATAGGAATTTGTCCTCGTCTTTAATCCTTCCTGCTTTTCTGTGTTATAGGGAAATACAGGTTCTCTGCATACTGCTTTACCATACTAGTTAAGATATCTGGTTATGAGAAGTTTATAGAATGATCCAGGGGTGGCTCATGGAACCCAAAGCCCCAGTGGAGCTGGGATCTTGGAAAGTACTGAACCTAGGACCGAAAACACTGCTGGGGCTGTTTCCACAGCTCTTCATGCAGCTGCCTCATCTTTATCTCAAAAGAAATCCTTTCTGTGTCTTGTGGTCCATTCAGAAGATAGAAGACTAGACGACAGCCATCTAGAGACCTGGTGTGTGTATGTTAATAAGTCAGCCACATGCAGAAATGATCCCTACTAGTTCCCATGTCAAAGTTCCCAGGAGAGACACTTGGTGGCCCAGTTCAGACCAAGTAACCATCCCTGGTCCAAAGAGCTGTAACAAGTAACTGGGATTGCATGGTATGACCCAGCTGGTGGGCTCCTTGGCTTGTATGAGGAAAGAGGTCTGGTTCAAGGGAGACAGACAAGGGAGAAGTCATTGGTTCAGTGGTTGGGTAGGTCCCTTTAAAAGGCACCTACTACATTAGCCTCTTATGTATTCATTTGACATATTCTTTCAGACTGTGTACTGTGTGCTAGGCATGATCCGGGGCACTCCATCCGGGGATAGAGCTGTGAACAAGATGAAGTCCCTACCCTCACGCCCTTGACCTTCCATTGCCTTGTCTGCATTTCCACTTTGCAGGGCGGGGGCAAATTTAGTGCTTGTCTCTTTGCTTACGCTTGTTCTCTTAGTTCTTTCCCTTTCCTTTGGTTTCTTTCTCAACTAATAGATGTTTATTGAACTCCCACTCTGCTGACATGGCGCCTGTTTATATGGGGGAGGTGTAAGCATATACTCATTCTGTATGGTGGTATTTGCAAAATGCATTAACTCAGAATTATCTCATGAGTCTGAATTTGAAACCTTAGTCATCATGTGCTTTGCTCTAGATGGTATAATGTTTCCTTACGCAATATGTTTTCCACAATTTTTTTGAAAATATTAATGTTTTTCTCTATAGGGTTAGGTTGAGATGAGGCCACTGAGGTAGAAAAAATGTTTCTGAATCTTAGGAGCAGGGGCAGGGTGGTATAACTGTTTCTACCTAGAAAAAAGTCCCAGGTTTTTCCTGTTGTGGTATAGAAAGCTGTTTTGGCCTGAGGCATACTAGATAGGAAAAGTGGGAGATATTATTTCACTTCATTCTGTGATCACTATTTAACTTGTGTCAATAATTTTTTTCACTCCAGTATTTGTTATCCAACATCTAAATTCTTATTTGGAAAAATTATTGTTTCTGTTCTTATTTCTATCAGTGATTTTTTTTTTTTTGGTCCCACTCTTCTTCAAACATCAGGGATCTCACATTTCTTCCTTTTCTGGTGCACACATTTAACTGTTACCTCTTCAGAAGTCTTGCAGAGTTTTCTTTTTTGTTATTGTTTTTGGTAGATATGAGGTCTTGCGACGTTGCCCAGCGTGGACTTGAACTTCTGGGCTCAAGCTATCCTCCCACCTTAGCCTCTCAAAGTGTTGGGATTACAGGCATGAGCCACCATGCCCAGCTCAGAGTTTTCTTTTGAGATGTTTCTTATGTCTGTCCCTTTATCCCGTCTTCCATTTAATTCATGCTTTTATCATCTTGCTTCTAGATTACCGAATCAATTTCCTACTTGGTCCCTTTATCTAAAATTCTCCTCTCCTGTGGTTCCCCCTTGGCCATCACTGCCAGATGCTCTTCTCACTGCCAGATGCTCTTCTCTTCGGATCAGAAACCTGTGGCCTCCTGTGACCTTCAGGATGAAGTTCAAGCTTCTTTGCTTGGCGTTGAGTCATCCACAGTCTGGCCACAGGCTATTTTTTTTTCCCCCCGCAAACTTCTTTTTTACTTTTTCCTAATTTGGACCCTCAGGGTTGATTTGTTTTCTTAGTTGGCTGCAATACAATTTTGTCTGCTTGGGCCTTTGCTTAAGCTCTTCTTTCCCTTGCCCACAGTGTCCTTTCCTTTCCTAATTCATACCTCAGTCACCCTGTCTCTTCTGTCTGTCCTCAGAATCTATTCCACCCCTGCCCTCCCTAGCGCAAAGAGGCTGCTGACCTCTGAGCTTGCTTAGCACCTTTGGGTCTGCTCTTAGTCACACACTGATAAGTAACTATGGTTAAACCCTCATGCTTTAAATGGGGAACATTTTCGAGGGCAGGAAACTGAGGGAACATTTTCAAGAGCAGGAACCTGATCTTTTGTTTTTGTGTTCTCTGCGGGATCTAACAAGCCATCCTGACTGGGAGCTCATCGGGATCACTTAGTGAGCTTTAAAAACAAAACAGTGACCACGGAATCTGAGAGGGCAGGGCCCAGGAACTAATACATTGTGAGAGCTGCATTCGTAATACTAATGCAGGGGAACTGAGAGCTGCTAGGTGAGCAATGAACCACTTTGACCACGTGCTGTTTGGTGAACCCAGCCTGTCCCTACTGTCCTGGAGCTTGGGCTCATGGGTGCAGGGAGACAGAGCATCCATACATAAAATCAGGTAATGATGATATCTGGTCCTGTGGAGGAAGACAAGGAAGGGTAAGTGGGCAGAGAGAAAAGCAGTACTTCCATATAGGCTAGCTTCAAAAATATTCTCCATCTGTCTTACATCAGCAAATGCTCCAACACCTGGCCTGCCCTGATTGAAGTCCGGGAGCCCCAGCTGGTGGGCCAGACAGTCTGAAAGAAGGGATTCTTGCTCTCTGCTGCCGCTTGTTGATGAGTAGAGGACCAAGCATTGTCCCATGGAGCCAGAAAGACCCCAGAGAGTGGGAGGCTGGAGGGAAGGAGGTGAGGGATTGTGTCTGCAGTGAGGAATAGCCAGGGCGCTGTGGGCACATACAAAAAGCAAGAGGAAAATATGTGTGCCCGGCCTGTGACCAGGGACCCAGCTTGAGCCTGGAGCCTGCACCCACCAGGCATGCCCATCTGGATGAAGGGAGAAGCCTTAGCCCACTTCAGACTTAACTCTTAACATTCAGAATAATATGTTAGCTTTCAGTAAACAAGTTTACATTTTGCTTGTCGCTTTCTTAGGATAAGGATTATCGTCCTTCTAATCACTTTAAAAAGATGATGTAGCCAAAACTTTCTCTTTCACAGTGTTTCTATATGACAGTGAAAAGTATTCTTGATATCAGGGAAGTGAAGGTTTACTTGTGTAAGACGTCAGTTTTTTAATGATGCGCAATGTCCGTTTCTTTGATAGTTGGCAAGTATGGTAGGTATTGGAGAGGGAATGTATATTCAAGAAAAACAAGATAAGGCTTCATCTGTAGGGTATTAATTTTCTGTGATCCTTTACCTCAGACGCCTCTCCTCTGCAGGTCACTTCTCAAGCTGGGCAGCCCCTTCTAATGAGGGATGCTGCCTTGGAGTTGGAGACGAGGTTAAAATCTACACGTGTGTACCAGTTTCAGTAATAACTGGATCATTCTCTAGGTCTAGGCTGGAACGTCTCAAGTGAAGGTTACTGTGTGTGGGGAGGGGGCGGGATTTGGACCCGCCCATAGAGGCTGGACCCATAGTACTGAAATCAAATCTGAAGGAGCTAGGCTGGCTTGCGACGTAATCACAGAAACAGTAATTTAAACAATAAAATGAAAGCTCGCGCGCTGGCCCAGAACTGGGGTTGGGACAGCTACTGCACTCAGGTCTCCAGGCTCATGTGGGCAGAAGAGCATCGGATCCCTTGCAATCAATGGTGGGAGCAAGCCCTTCACCCTGGGGGTCTGGGGAGCGCGCAGAGGTGTGATTTCGCCATCTCCTTCTGCGGTGGCTGCTTGCAGGACGCATCCCCATTGCTGCTGTCTCTGCTTCTAAGGAAGATCAAAGGAGCCCAGAAAACCCAGTTCCTGAGCTCAGTCCACAAGACTAGAGGGACGCTCGGTCAGATGGCTGGGTGGGGGCCGCTGGCCTTGGCGCCCCCGGCCCCACCGTCCCGATGGTAGCCAAGAGCGGCGCGCCCCAGCCGTCCGCCCTTCCTAGCCCCGCACGCAGCTTGGATGTCCGGCCGGGCACAGGCAGGGCCGGGAGCGAGCGCGGGAGCTGCGGCCGGCTGTCCTGGGGCGGGGCTTGCTCCGCCAGCGCCGGGGGCCGCGCGGGGCGGGGCCGGGGTCGAGGGCGGGGCAGGGGGCGGGGCCGAGGGCGGGGCCGGCAGGGGCTGCTGCTGCGGCGGCGTCTCCAGAGGGAGCCAAGGTACATAGGCGGCGCCCGCCTCGCCCGAGCATCCTTCCCGGCCGATGCCCACCCGCCCGCGGCCCCCGCTCGCTGCCTCCCGCCTGGCGGTTGACTTCTTTGTCTCGTGTTCTCTGCCTGCGCCCTGTCCCTGCAGGACCCGTTCATTCTTCTTTGGGCTATAAGAAGGCAGAGGATGAGATGTCCCGGGCCACGTCTGTTGGAGACCAGCTGGAGGCACCCGCCCGCACCATTTACCTCAACCAACCGCATCTCAACAAATTCCGCGACAACCAGATCAGGTAGGAGAAGGCGGCCGGGACGTGCGGAAGGCGGTGGAGTCTCGGCAGGGAAGGGGCTCGCCCTTCTGCGCCGGGCTTGGCCACGCACCTGGCCGGCCCCCATCCATCTCCCGCAGCGCCTTCCCCTGCCCCCTCCCCACCTCACCAGCCCGCGGTGCAGCCCCGCGCTTCCAGTGGGGTCATGCGAGAATACAGCCCTCACTGTCCCCTCCTGCGCATCCGTTCCGCGCCCAGCCTGCCGTGAGCCCCGAGGAAGTTTTCACTCTAATGTCACCGACAAAAATGAGATCTCTGCTCTTCTCATCCCTGGGCTTCCTTCCCAGAACCCCCACTCTAGCCTTGTTTAAACCGGTTGATAGCCCTCTTTAGCAATTTGCTGAAGGTACTGTGAAGGACTTGCTTCATAAGGGAATCCCACAAGACCCAAGGACTCACATTCAGTTTTCAATAATCCACAATTGTTAAGAGATTTTCATTTTCTGGGAAACTTTGCCCAGAGTTAGCAGAAAGATGGACAGAAGCTAGCATTTAAATGTCTACTTTTGCTGGCCGCTATGCCACACACCCTGGCTATAGCAGCTTAGTGAAGCTTCATAACCTCTTGAAGCAGGCCAGGAGACTGGGATATAAAGATGCTAAATAAGGTACCTATAATCATACAGCTGCTAGGTGGCAGAGCTGGAAATTGAACCCAGCCTATCTGACTACTAAGGGTAAATTTTTGCTGCTGTGCCAAGCTAGTTCTTTAGCATGGGTGTTCGTACATTTTCAAATTTCATTAAACTTTCAGCCTTAAACAACTTTGTTTCTGAGAGTGACTTCAGAGGATGTTGTTCTGTGAGCTGCTCAGAACACCATGCCTGGGTGTAGAGAAATTCAGTGATTGATCAGGTTACACAGAGATTATTGACAACCCTGAGTTTCAGTCCAGGGTTCTTTTTTGAAAGGCAAAAACTTTGTTGTTATTTGTTTAAGTATGACACTACTGCACTAACATTTGTACAGACGACAGCCTGACATCTTCAGAAAGGTCAGTTTGTTGGACACTATTGGGGTAGAATAAGTGTGCATATTATATGGAGGTGGAATCTTCACTTATTAAATGAGTGTTAGATTATGCAGCTTTATTTGGGGTTTTAAGAATGACAGTTGGGCATATTTTATACTTGAAAGTGTAACTTAGAAGAATAGCTGAGTCCACATTTCAGAATGTGTGGGCTTCATTTAAGATACAGAGCACCAGCCACAGTGGGTTACCACTTCACAAACTACAGTGGCTCCAATAAAAAAGACAGATAACAAGTATCAAACTTGGTACCCTCATGCATTGCTGATGGGGATGACAAATGATGAAGCTGCTTTGGAAAACAGTTGGTAATTCTTCAAAATTTTCAATGTAAAATTACCATATGACGTAGCCATTCTTCTTCTAAGTGTATCTACCCAAGAGAAATGAAAACCTATGTCCACACAAAAACTTGTACACATATAATCACAGCAGCATTATTGGGAATAGCCCCAAAGTAGAAATAATCCAAATATCTATCAGCCGATGAATGAATAAATAAAATGGAGTATATCCTTACAATGGAATGTTATTGGGCCATGAAAGGAAATGAAATATTGACACATTCTATAACATGGATGAAGCTTGAAAGCCTTATGCTAAGTGGAAGGAGCCAGTCACAAAAGGCCTCGTAATATATGATTCCATTTATGTGAAGTATCCAGAAGAGGCAAGTTTATAGAGTCGTAAGGTAGATTAGTGGTTCCTGGGGCTGGGGAAGAGGGAAGAGGTTGAGGGGAAAGGTGGAATGACTGTGAATGTGCATGAGGTTTCATTTTGGGTTGATGGTTGCGTAACTCTGTGAACATATCTAAACCATTGGGAATCCTGAGCTGCTCATGTACTTCCATATCTTCACACCTTCTCATATGTGTTTCTATTGAATTGCTTTCAAAAAGATGATTTTCTAAAAGATATATACTGTGAAAGGATATGGGAACTGAAGAACTACTTTTCTTTTTAAACTTTAGTGTGTTTTCAAGTAGTATTTTTGCCTAATTCCCACTACTTCCTTTAATTTTGTTATCCATTTGTGCATGCTTAAGGCTGGGGGAATAAAATAGAGACCTTTGTTTTTGTCTAAATTCGCTCGTTTTCATGGAAGGTAAAGTTTGTTTGTTTGTTTTTGAGGCGGAGTCTTGCTCTATCCCCCAGGCTGAAGTGCAGTGGTGTGATCTTGACTCACTGCAACCTCCACCTCCCGGGTTCCAGTGATTCTCCTGCAACAGCCTCCCTAGTAGCTGGAATTACAGGCACCTGCCACCATTCCTGGCTAATTTTTGTATTTTTGGTAGAGAATAGATTTCACCATGTTGGCCAGGCTGTTCTCAAACTCCTGACCTCAGGTGATCCACCTGTCTTGGCTTCCCAAAGTGCCAGGATTACAGGCATGAGCCACTGTGCCAGGCCGGAAGGAAAAGATTTTTAAGAATACTGGTAATGGAGCTTCACTATGTGTTCTGTAATCAAGAATGAAAGTGGGCCCAGACTGATGGTATTATTAGTCAGAGGGATTCCGAGTGGCTACCTGCTGTGCAGTTTCATTTGTACTGCTTTGGGAGAGGCAGAATAAGTTGGGGATGTACAGTGGGTTGGTTAGGAATAAAGTAGGCAGATACCAACTTTCTGTTTAAAGCTTTATATAAGTATGTAATTGAATTAGTTGAAATATATTAAAATTCATATAGTGTCTGAGTTCATGGCTCATTTGCATGCCCTGGATGGGGTCTAAGAAATTAAAATGTGGTCCTTGATGTTCTTTAAAATGGCCTTTGAGTATTTGGCTCTGTTGAGAAGGGAGCTGACGCATGACTTGCTTATCTGGCACAGGACGGGAGTTAATGGAAGACCATGCTCCATGCTCAAAGCAGGGAAGATCTCTTTGTAGCACCAGAATTGCTCAAAGCAAAGAAGACCTCTTTGTAGCAACAGAATGTGGCCAGACTTGCTTGCTGTAGCTGCAGCTTTTCCCTCTGACCCTTTACTCAGTGTGTCTAAAGTAAAGCATGCCTATACTTCCCGAGGAAATGCTAAACCGCCACAGCTATGGACTCATCTGCTTGATGCTTTGCTTCCTTTTCACCCCCTACATCCCTGAGCACATCCTTCTCTGTTAAACACTCAATAAATAGTGTGGGTGTCCAGTGCTCGGGGCCTTCGCATCCTTTTATTGCATTGGCCCCCTGGGAGCCCACCTTATGCACTCTTACTTTTGTCTCTTAATGGCTTTATCTCCACCAACTCTTTTTACTCCCTAGGTTGTGTCAGGGCTGGTTCCCCAACATAGTTCACCTTGCCTGTGTGTTTAAATAGGAATTACTGATGGTTATCAGTGACTCGTGGTTCATTAAAAAATTGATTATAGGTCAGGTGCGATGGCTCACACCTGTAATCCCAGCCCTTTGGGAGGCCAAGGTGGGCAGCTCACTTGAGGCCAGGAGTTTCAGACCAGCCTGGCCATCATGGCAAAACCCCATCTCTACTAAAAATACAAAAATTAGCCAGCCATGGTGGTGCATGCCTGTAGTCCCAGCTATTTTGGGAGGTCAAGGCACAAGAATCACTTGAATCCAGGAGGTGGAGGTTGCAATGAACCAAGATCACACCACTGCACTCTAGCCTGGGTGATAGAGCAAAACTCCACCTCCAAAAAAAAAAAAATTGATCATAAAGCTTCTTAGCATTATGGTTTAAGGACTTTACAAAATGTTGAGCCATGTTATTTTAGCACTTTAATGTTACTGAACTCAAGTTTTATGATAATATTGATTTTTTAAAATAAGGCCTTTTCTCTTGGCCATGAATGTTTGTTAACATTTACTAAAGCTAGTCAAAGGAATATTTTTGTAAAAGGATAAAGGATTTGTTTTTAATATAATTTTTCCGGAGAAAAGGTTAATGGTTTTCTTAGAGGCAGGGGCATGGAGGGTTTATCCCAGTTTCTTTGCCCCTAAATTGAGCTTTTTAAGACAAAGGGACCACATGGGATAGATGAGCCCAGGCTAGTCTGTTGAATCAGGGCTGTCTGACTTACCTGGATGTTGTACCCCTTGGCAGGCCTGTCCTCTCTGGAACAGAGTTCTCTCCCCTGCTTTCCTCAACCCCAAGCCCTTTTGGGCTTGAAATCTTCTGGATCATAACAGTTGCTCTGCACTTGCCTTTCTGGGAAGCTGGCGATTGACTAGGACTGGGAGTTTGAGGCACAAGAAGGGAGGGCAGTAAGGGGTGACATGTTACCATTCAGGACAGGAATTGCATGTCCCAAGGTTACTGGAGTGGAACTGATGTGACTTAAGAAAGAGGGTGGGTCTGGGAAAATGCCTAGAAAGCAGGAATTTGGTCCCCTCTGAGGTCCACTGTGGCCTCAGCACCCCCAGGGGAATGTACTACATGGGACTCCAGATTCTGGCCAATTCCTTGAATTTTTGGGAGGGACTGTGTTATGTATGTAGATGTCTCACCAAACCTTGTTCTTGACACTGAAAATAGCATCAGTGTTTGATCTGAAGCCTGTGGTAGGTTTGTTACGTTTTTCATTATTGAAGCCAGTGAACTCAGGTTATCATAATGATGGAGAATTATGAAGTAGTCTTTTTCTCCTAGGCACTGATTTTTCTAGGACCTTAACTATGAGAACAATAACTTCCTTCATCCTCTAGAAATGAAAAGTAATTCATGGGATTCAATGTTTACATACACATCTACGGTTATGTATGTGTCCACCTAACTAGATCTCCTTTTCCTGAAGTGCACAATTGTATCTCCTTTCAAATGTTTTAAAGGTTTTGGTGCATAATTCACCCATCTAAAAGGTACAATTCAGTGATTTTTAATATATTCATAGAGTCGTGCTGCTATCATCACAGTCAGTTTTGGAATAATTTCATCACCTCCAGAAGAAATATCATACTCTTCAGCTATCATCTTCCCTCCC